ATTAAATAGGCTAATCTAAAGTTTAATCATTAACGCACCCATAGGCTACGACTTTTACTCATTTAGGACTACCCTAATGTTATTTAAGAGTGGAAATGCCTTAGTCTTTTAAGAGTTAAAATAGCCTAAGCAAGTAAAGAGTTAAAGAAATCAGTCAGTTGCAAAATACTGAAATTATTTCTAAAATGTAAGTTCATAACCGAAATTAGATTAAAACGTTGCAAATCATGAATAAATTGTTTATGTCAGGTACTGTTTTAGAATTGGAATGACCTTCTGAACTAGTGCCGAGGTTATTAGAATACTGGACAAATATTACACATGGGTTCAAAAGGTAATATTCTAACATAAAATAACGACTGCCGCGGGAAATCTTGCTGCCACAGCCATTCCTTTTACTTTCTACTTATTGTGCTTGGGTTCATTTTTTAAATTACACCATTGGCTTTAGAAAATGTTAAAGGTTAATTTAAATAGAGTAAAATAAAGAATTTAAAAAAAAATTTAAATTTACATTGATATTCAATTTTTTGTCACATTGATCCAATGAAAGAAACAATACTGTAGGCCTACTAATTAAGGCAATAGAGACAACATATTGAGCATCATTCTATAAAAAAAAAATACATAGAAGCATTGACTATTGAATACCTACAGAAGAAGACATCCCACCTATATGGATCAGCCGTCGCCAATTTTTTACTAAAAAAGAATGTAATTGTGTGAGCCAGTCACAGATTGCGCTAGTGTCTACTGTACAAAACCAACGATATAATACATCGTTGTACAAAACAACATACGTGTCCAAAACAAAACTCGGTACTTACGTATTATGGCGACCACACCAATAAATCAACCTCCAAATAAAAATTAGTTTGGATAGCAAAATTATCCTAACCTAACCTAACCACCCTTAGGTTAGGTTAGGAATTAATACTTTAATACATTTCTCTATGAAATGGCGACCATACATAGTAGGTATTTTAAGCCAAGTATGAATTGAGATGAGTGTAAGATAGAGTGGCGCGATCTTGTAGTCTTGTTAGTGACTATGGCCGACATTCCTTAGACACAGCTGTTAATTGATAGCCCATACAGCTAATGGCAACTAAGGGACCTACAGTTTATAGTGGAATCCGAACCACAATTTTTGCCTTGGTATATATGAATTGGTCTAATTATCAGGATAGCACTGCGGGTAGTCGTGGTACTCACTAGTGCGGACGTTAATCCACACCCGGGAGTATCACATCCACAGTGCATGCCTATAAATATCCACAATTCGTGACCTAGTAGCTGGAAACAGGACGACGCCACCCGTCCCAGTCTTTATGTGAGGTCAGTATAGCAACACTTAAGTGCCCAAAACTCTCAGTCATAAATACTCAAACAGTTAAAGTTTAACCATTATTCATTTTTTTAAACCCGAATCTGGTTTTGAAAACTATCCACTAGGCCTAGTTTAAGCTCTCGGACCTTACACATTAGGATAGTTAGGTGCTTCATATCCGACCGCAGTCCCAGATAGACTGTGTCAATGATAAACATTTTTAAACGTGACAGTGGCACATTGGAAAAGTGGCACATCAATATTCCATTTCTTCAAAAATATAAGTTTTGAATACCATCTGCTACTGTAGTTTTAAGCTCTCGGACATTACAGTACGGTAATCATTTGGATTCTTGGGTGATTCGTCTCTTGTTCCCTGTATGTAGCTTGGTTTTTGACCGTAGGTCAATTATAGGATACTCCCTTAGTAGATTTGTCATCCTTATGGAACAGCTGAAGCCAATTTTATTGTTAATTCTGTACGTCCAACTGTAGAGGTTGTGTTTTGTTTACAATTTGTTCCTTCTTAGGCCTATTTTAATCATTTAAAACCTCATTTAACCAAATAAAACGATATAATCATAAATAATAACTGGTCTCCTAGTTATTTAAACCAAATAGTAAAGCACAAACAATGAAAATAACCCTAAAATAATATAAACAAAATTTTGTCTACCCCAGCGATCAGTGTGGACGTACATGAACTAGACACAAAAAACAAGCAGCTTCCAAAATTTACAATGGGATGAGGAGTCTACTTGTGTTGCTTAGTCTATGCATATATCCATAAATAAACAAGTAAACTACAACAAATTTCATTTTCTCCATTTAAGAATAACATGGGAATTTTAAATTACACTTCTTTTTTTTATTTCTCTGTGACCGTTGGGGACACAACAGTCCTATAATATACTAAATTATTTATTTTTCTAATTTATAGCCTATCTAGATTTCTTTTTAGTATGGTGACCAAACCAAGGAAGCATACTCGAGTAGCTGCAGGACGAGAGACGTTCGTACTACAGGCATGGTTGCTCAAACCATGTCTTGCAGAGCGGGATAACCTACCAATCCGAGCATACGAGAGGCCCTGGTGCAGATTTGGTTTATGTGGGGTCCAAACTCGAATGAGGAGTCAATTAGAACACCAAGATCCTTGATGGTATTGCATCTCTCCACCCGGTTACCATCAAGAGAGTAGTCAGCTAACACTGTATTTAATTTCCTGCTAAAAGTGATCAATTTGGTTTTTGTGGGATTCACAGCCATATCATTGGAGAGGCACCAGCAAAATTTGTCGTCAAGGGCGTCCTGAAAGGACTGGCAGTCATGATAGGATGCAACTTCAACGAGTAGCTTAATGTCATCCGCAAATAGAAGAAATGGGACTTTCATGACCTTCACAATGTCATTAATAAAGATGGAAAACAAGAACGGTCCAAGATGAGACCCCTGAGGAACACCAGAAATTGCAGCGAAGAAAGAAGAGACTTCAGAACCAAAGTGTACAGCGAGCTATTGATCAGTAAGGTAGCTCTTAAACCATTGTAAAATTGTAGAACCATTCTTCCAGCAAACCCATAGCCTTGGAGCTTCGCGAGCAGATGACTATAATTTATCTTGTCGAAAGCTTTACTAAAGTCAATGTAAATGGCGTCGACTTGATTTCTTTGACCGAAGGCTTCCAACACCAGACACTGGAGAGATAAAAGATTTGTCAAAGTGGAGCGACCGGAGGTAAAGCCATGCTGCTCATAAATTATGATATGTTTAAATAAAGGCTGTAGGATGTCTAAAATAAGCCCTTCAAAAGCTTTACTGCGGACGGACTGAATTACTATGGGCCTGTAATTTGTAACATTGCAACGATCACCAGCTTTGAATATTGGAACCACAAAGGCCTAACCATATTTCAGTGTGGAGGGAAAGGTGCCTGTAGACAAACTGAGGTTAAATAGGAAATACTCCTGGTGTGATGTTGTCAGGACCACTACCCTTGCTGGGGTCCAAGTGAAGAACCTCTTATTGATATCATCTAGGGAGATAGGTAGCACATTCTGAAATGGTGAATGGAATATGAAATGAAGGTACTGGCAGCTCATCTTTGGACGCATGAGAGTAGACGTACGAGAAATATTCTGCAAACAGCTCACAAATCTCATGTGGGTGGGAAACCTCAGTCGAACCATGTTGAGTCATGAGTTCGCGAACCAGCATGATCGGACAATGGGAACGGGACTTTACGGGGGGTTTTATGGGCTAAAATATGGTTTTTCTAATTTTTGATCCTCTAAACACAAAATTTCCCAATACTCTCCAGACCTTTTTAAGGAGCTTAAAAAAGTAATTAGGGCCTAATTTATTACATCAAAGTGTTTTTGTACAATTATTGGTTATGGAGAAAATTCAAAAAAATTGTTACCGGTAACTTACCTTATTATAAAATTACCATGTTAGGCCTATTCTTATGGAGAATATTGTAAAATGTTGTACGGTAGTTTACTTGTTTATGGATACATTTTGATCTAACTTAGTAAATTTATTTATTTTATACTAACTTAAGTTATTAATAGGCCTACCGGTACTTTACTAAAAAACACACTTTTTACCCTCCCTGTAGCAGCAAGCCTATGTTGGTATACTCATGAAACATAATGTTAATTAAATAAATTTAATTGAAAATCAATTCAAGCAACAGGAAATTCGCTTAGTCGGCAGGTTTGATGCGGCGGGGGTATTTTTATTCGGTTTTAAGTTAAATTAAATTGGCTGCACTTTACGTCCTAAGTTTACACTCATTCAAATGAAACTACCGATTTATCGATTGTTTCATTTGATATAGCCTATCGTTTACATAGTTAGTTAGGAAATGATATATATAGAATAATCTATATATCGATCAATATTTTCTTTCGAATTAAGTTAGTGTATATGACGTTTAAAGTTAAGTGCAGCCCTTAAATTAAGTTATTTTGCTTTAACTTGCGTTTTAAATAGCCTAGGCCTAACTTCCTCCTTCTGTTTCAATGCCCAATACATGACTAGGGTAGACTTCTGTAAGTTATCTATTGTCAAAAACAACCGAATGAAAATAGGTATCGATCGATATATCGATTAAGTTATTTGATATATATCGTTTGGTTAGTAACTTAAGGTTAGGTTAACCTAACTCACCAAACGATGTACCGTAGGGAATAAACCAATCGAATGCGGTAAGGTAATTGATATTTTCATTCGGTTGTTTTTGACAACAGATACCTACAGAAGTCTACCCCGACTAACTTAAAGCTTGATCCGCACAAAGTTGGCAGGTAGCTTAAAAAACTGCCTCAGGTAGCCTACCTAAAAACACTAGAAGCAGGTGTCTAGCCTTGAATCCTGCTCGCGTACGGTAGGCCTACTAGCTTTGTGTACCAGTACGCTAAACACAGCTTTAGGCTAGTTAAATTTCTTAGATTCCCTCCTTGTTGGAGAGTAAGTTTACCGCATAAAACTGTAGTTCAGAATAACTTAGCCTACTTATTAACGTGGCAGATGAGTCCAACTTAACTTAGATCTCAATCGATTCCTATCGCTATTGATCTAACAAGGCAGCAACGGGTTTGAAATCATTGAGACAAGTCTTAGCTTATCAATAAACAACTCGGGAAACTAAATTAGGGAGACTTACCTGTTTCCGAAGTTAATCCGCCAGAACTCGGCTGCATCGCTTTTTGTTATTCTAAATTGATCCCCTGCGAATGTTCCATTGGGGAATATAGCTTTCAGTTCACTTAACATATGGCTAAAAACTAAACTGAGTTTTGTTAAATTCCGCCTATAGTGCGAGTTTTCATCGAACATTTTTTCCTTACCCTCCTTGAAAAGCTTGTTCGCTTGTTTACATTTCCTCATTAAGTTAATGATAAATACATTGAAGTGTTCGTTGTTATGCAAAACTATCATTTTATCCTCATATTTAGAGTAAATGAGCCTCAAACGCTGATAGGTATCCGGTAAGATATCAAGGATGAAAGGAGGGGAATTTTTTAGGTTCATTTTTTGATGTTGACATAATTTGACAACCTTGTCCATCAACTTCCACGTTTTATCCAATGTTTTCTTGTCAGTTGCTAGTTTTGGAGGGGCCATCGCGTCTGAAAATGCACCATGCAATTTCGAAAATATTGCAGTAATATTTTTATGCTGAACGACGGATCGGTTTCTGTTGTTAGCGGCCATAGCGTGTGCTGCACTTCACAATCATTTAAATGACATTAAACTCACATTTTACAAATCCCACTAATTAACATGAAAAGAAACGGCACACACAACACTCGTTTTATAACACATTAATGCCATAGACACGAACTATCTTTCATTGCTGATGAACAAAACACCTTCAACGCACGCACATAACACTCGCGAATCACTCGACTACGACTCTGCTGAACTTGACTTGGATGAGAACTGAAGAAAAAGAACAACAAACCCTTTCTAATTCTGATTTCTAACTCCAACTCCGCTTCCAAACAGAGCGAAATCTAAATCATATTACTTCATCTATGATCGTACATCGAATATAGAAACCTCTCGTTTAATCCATACAGCTCTACTTAACTATTTTAAACATTGATTATATAAGCTAGGTTCCGCTGTGTTAATTCATATGGCTCTATATACAGTGCTGTGTACATGGTTCCAGTGGTTAGCTACAGCCTCATTTAATACCAATACCCAACTTTTCATGCGTCAGAAAGTAGGATAGAGCTAACCACGAATACTTCGTGGAGCTTACAACCCTACTTTTCCGACTCGTAATAGTACTTTTAGCATAGATTAAACAAAGATACTTCCTTGTGTTAATTTGTAATTCTTTTACTACAGAGTAGTATACACGGCCACCTTTAACTCCAGGCCGCGGCCTGATAGAATTGGAAACGTTGCATGTGGTGTTGTCTTGCACCATACATCCCATAAGATAACATGAATAAATAAATAAATAAAAAGGTCTTTATTAGCAAGCGTTTTTCAGAAGAATACATTCTGTTTTTCAAAACAACTCTTGTCCTTAATCCTAATAAACTATACATATAAAACAAACTATAAAACAATCTATATAAATAATCTATGAAAACTACTGTATGTAAAAACAATCCATACTAACAATCTATGAAAACAATTTCTAAAAACAATTTTGACAAACATTACTTTAACATGACCAGAATTTTCGATACAAAAAATAACAATAATTTACCTTCAAAAACATACAAAAAAAAAACATATATTAACTTGAAATACTAAATCATTTGTTACATAAAATATTCGTTCAAATGTTTTTTAAATGTGTTCAGAGTGTTGGCCCCCTTTACCCGATTAGGGAGAGCATTATACAAGGTGGGGCCAAAGTATTAGAAGGCGCGCCTCCCCACCTCATGCCTGACTGTAGGAAAGTGCATCAACTTGTCCTACCTCGTGCTGCGGGCAGAGGCATCTTGGCGAGAGAGAAGCCTCTCACGCAGGTACTCAGGCTGGCCGAGCTCTATAGCAATGAATACACAAACTATATAGTTTGTGTATTCATTGTCTATAGCTTTACGTATCAGGCTGCAGGCTAGGTATATACAATTCTCTTTAATTGGCATAATGTGTGTAGCGTTTCTGAAAGAGGTTATGTGATCTCTTCTCCTACAGTTATAAATGAATCTAATTGATGCGTTTTGTAGTCGTTGGATTTTATTTAGGTCACCTTTTGTAATGCTATTACCGTAAGCGGGAAGACAATCATCAAATACTGATAATACCAAGGCCCTTACTAGTTTTATTTTGGCACTCTCAGGTAAAATACCTTTCAATCTATAAATATTGACATGGCAGAATCAGAAACAAAGAAATCTCGCCACATCGAATCAGAATCATGGCAGATAGGTGACATTAGCTCATAATTTGCGTATTATTCATTTTAATATAAACATTAAATTATTAATATATTGAAAATAAAACATATAGAATTGAAAACCAAAACAATATTTAAATTGAATATCTATATTTGTAAATTTAATGTGAATTAAATATTTTATAGCCCAGAGTAACCAAGCTTTTGTATTCTCGAAATATGTACACAAATACCATAAGCTGCCACCAAAAAACAGCTGCTGTTACAACCCTACTTCGAAGCTGTTGCCACTTCGAAGGCCGCCCCCGCAGCCTGGAGTTAACAGGGGCCGTGGTAGTAAATAATAAATTTATTTTGTAGGTGTTTGGCTCTACACCAGCCTGCATTGAGTAAAAGGTATTGTAAATCTCAGACAAAAAAATGGATAGGGCAACGTAAAATTATTGACCTGCATCAGGGGACGTTGAGCGCGAATGTTCTATTATGACTAATAAAAAGTACCAAGGCCAACGTTTTGGAGAGCCTGTTACTTCTAACATCGTAATAAAAGGATATGAGTACCAATAATCAGGATATAAGCACGGCGACCTTTAACTCCAGGTCGGGCAGCGCAACACTTCGTCACAGTGATGGATAGTTGTACTAAACTCTTACCATTAAAATCTTACAAACAGCCAACTTGTTTATTTACCTAAAACATATGGAAATGGCGATGGCAATGAATTTATCAATGAAATCGATTCACTAGTGTGACGTCATAGATCCTGCAGCATGGCCTTTGCTCCAGGCCGTGACCTGCTATAATAATTGGCAACGTCGCAATCGCAATTAGTTTTTTTCCCATAAGATAACATGACAGACAGTTGACACCAGCTCATTGATTCGCGTATTTAAATTTGCGTACATTTAAATTTGAAATAAAATTGATAAAAAAATGTAATAGACCTCGTAGAACAACTTTCCAATGTCAAAAATACTAAATAGACACTTATTGGCTTCACTAGACATAGTAAATTTATACACCAACGTCCCAATCAAGAAGACTTTAGATATTACTCGAGACAAAACCTGTCAAAAAATTCAGAACTTAGCCCCGAAGCCATGATGAATTGATTACACTACTCAAAATCATATTAGAGCAGATTTTTTTTCTTTTAACGACAAATTCTATTTACAGAACGACTTCTTGGCTATGGGCTCACCTCTGTCTAGCATATTATCGGAAATTTATTTGCACCATTTTGAGAATGAATCAATTTTCTCCGATGGAAATAAACTTTGCAGTAATATAATCTTCTACAAAAGATATGTGGACGACATATTTTTAATTTGTATAGGCAACTCCAGACAACTGCAACTTCTGAATAATTATTTAAAATAACATATCTTCTAATTTGAAGTTTACACTGGAAATCGAACTAAACCAATCTTTAAACTTCCTGGATTTAGCGCTCACCAAAGATAATGACAAAATAAAATTCAAAATCTACAGGAAGCCTACGACTACCGATCACACCATTCACGTCTCATCTAGTCACCCCCAAGCTCACAAAATGTCAGCTTACAACAGTTTTGTAAACAGAATGTTAAAAATCCCTATGTCTCCAGAAGACTACAATTCAGAGTACCTAAGTCTGAAACAATTAGCTGTTAGCAATGGTTACCCCAGCAGTATTATCGATAAAGATAGTTAACAAACAAAAGTATAAAATTGGTAAACAAACAAATTGATAAACCCAGCAACTTTGTATCTGTCGAATTCGGAGCCAAACTACACTACACTATCCATTAAAAAATTAATTGAAAAAACATAAAATCACCCTAGCTACATCAAACAAGCTAGAACTTCATTTGAGCTAATCCAACCGTAAACAAAATGTGATAATAATTTAGATGGCACAGGTGTATACAAACTATATTGTAATGATTGCTGCAAATTATACATAGGTAGGCCAATCGGGACGTTTCTTCAATACTAGATTTAAAGAACACCTACCTAAACCAAAACTGCCACTACAACGATCCAAATTTGCAGAACATCTAGTAAATGCCAATCACAATGTCAATAGCTGCCAAAATAATTTACAAATCCTGCACAAATGCAGTAAAGGTCCCCTCATGAACGTCTTAGAGAGTCTTGAAATTTATAAAGCTGATAAAAAATCCTCACAAGACGTCTTGAATGAAAAACTATATTTTGGCACTTGGCTGAAGCTGGCTGACAGCCTGGTAATTGAGGCCTACTCAATTTCAGAGCTAGGGCTAGATATTTTAAACACATCCTTTTTATCTATTTATTTTCCAACTGATCTTACTCAAGTTTTTCAATCCACACCTTTTACAAATTCGGGAGGAAGTGCATACCACTGTCTAAATTGATCATAATTAATTAATTTCTGTTACGGTTGTGAAAATACATTATTATTACAACAGTATGATGCTCAACGGACTCGAGGATTCTTAATAGGTTAACTTTGTCCTTTCTACTGTCTTTGAATTTTTCCCACCAATTTACCCGCGTTCCCGCCAAAGCTGCTCTTTTTCTAGCGTGACGTTATGATTTTTGACAATTAATTGACAAGACAAGACAGACATTCTTAGCGTTACAAAGCAAAGAAATGTCTCGTTCACGTCGCATTTGTGTGTTGTAAAGTAGTGTCTTCTTGTTAGAAATTTTTTCAGTGACTTTGTTATAATTTTGACAATTCTAAATTAATACAATTTTATTTCATAAATTAATGGTGACTTGTATTTTTATTTTGAATCGTACTTGTAAGTTTTGTAAAGTAGCCTACTTTATCTTAGATCCCTTCAAGCTTTAAGTTACGTGTACAAATTAAGGTTAGTAGTCTAGTCTTCTTGTATTGGCTAGGCTAGTTTCATAACATCGAAAGAATTATGGTGATTGAATTATGGTGCTGACTAGGTTTTACATTTAATGAGTTCAATTTAACAGACTAGGTCTTTCCACCTGCATTTTAAACAATTGCATTTTACAGTAGGCCTAGCCTTTAAATAATTTTCTACTGTTGCCGAATTTATTGCAATTCTGTTGAATTTTATAAATTTAGGACTAGTTGAGTGGTCTAAAAACTAAATTTATAAATTTAGTTTTTAGTGTTGATGGCAATAAATGGATTTGATTTGATTTGATTTGAGTAGTTGAGAAAAGAGAAAATTTGCCTGGCGCGGGTAGGTATTTTAGGGCTAAGTAAACTTCATAAGTTATGCTATTTTGCTTTAGGTAGGCCTAAGCTACTTAGGCTATTTTTTTAAATGTAATTCAACAGTTTTAATTACGCCCAATATTTTATTACTTAGACCCAAATCTGGCGGTCATTTTATTCACCAGTGGCGGGTATATTTTGGCGCTTTTGTAGTGGTATCATATATTTTGCCACAGAAAATTTATTTGTTAATATAAGTACACACATATATATTTTTTCTATTTCAGTGATAAATTTAGAATATAATAATATAAAAACATTCTTTTCCTAGCAATGCGTTTAGGCGTAGTAGCAAAAGGTTTGCAAATTTTTGGATTATGCAAATAAGAAATTTCAAAAGCAACCCACAAGAAAACAACAAAATAATTTTTTACACATTTTATCTAAATGTAAAGTTTGTGTGAAATATGATTCCTTACGGTACGTAGAAATATCAATGTTTTTTAAATACTCCTAAAAATAAAATTTTCCTACAGTCATCCGACAAAGTTGGCTTCCTTGTACTGTTTATAGTACAGAAAGCTGCTAATTGCTGCATATTTATACTTTGCCGTACGGTTTATACTTTGCCGTACGGTTTATACTTTGCCGTACGGTTTATACTTTGCCGCACATCAGGATTCCAACGAAACAACACAAAACAGCGCGGTTCCATTATGCACGTAATCCGTGTACGCTTGGAAATAGGTTGGCAACACTTAAAGATAATTATACTATGAGCAGCTGATTGACTATTATAACTACGATTTAACCTGTCATTTCGTGTTTATAGTTTCGGTATTTCTGAACTTTCTGGACTTTTCTTTTAAACGTTTTTAAAACCTTCCTACGATCTTAATAAACAAAAAAATACCTTTTAAGCATTTTTTTAGGCGTGGAAACCACTTCAAATTACAAAAACATACGGAACTATATTCTCAAAACGCGGAGCACATTTCTTGCCGAGGAAAAATAGCGGAGTGATATGGACCGCGGGTACTACTTTCTCTAGGGCACCATTTGTGTTGCCAGCTGAACCTAAAAACTTGTTGCATAGTGTTTGAAAGACTAATTATTTATATGCTTTATAGTGACTGTAGGAAAAATATAATGTGTAACACGAGTGAAAAAGGCCTTTGCTGCACTCGAGATCATTCCACACTCGCCTGCGGCTCGTGCGTAAACATTGCTCTCGTGTGCAGCAAAGTGCCACTTTCACCACTAGTTACACAAATAACTATATAGAAAAATAAATTCTTCATACACATTTTCTTTTTTGAAAAACTACCAAATTTCTTTTTGTCACGTAGGAAATAATAGAATGCATCAACAAAAAATGAAATGATACTGTACAATAGGTAATAAAAAGATCTTTTTGAAAATATATAGTTATATTTAGTTGAATTCTAAAATGTCGGAGAAATTTACGTCGGAATGTAAAATTTTGAAGATTTTTTTACAAAAACATAATATTTATGGCAATTTTAAAAACAAATAAAATTTTTACAATCAACCTTATAGATTCACAGGGAATTGCAGGGAATTTATTGTAGTTTCAGAATATGTACCGGTACTAATATACAATTTAATTGACAATCATCAAAAACAGCTGTTTTTGTAGTCAGGTGACCAAAACTTTCCACCGCCAAAATCTTTTTCGAACTCTCTAGTTTTTCAAACTACCGTTTCTCGCTACATAATATTCACTCAATAATGTTTTATGCATGAAAATGAATCCTCAGAATCTCTTCTTTCTAATGATATAAGATTTATTGTGTTTTAAAACTGTTTTCATATTTTAATAATAGAAAAACCCGACCCATGTCATCTTGGTCTATAATCGACCAGCGCCACTGAGAACTCACGTTTTAGTGGTCGAAAATCAACCAGCGCCAGATAGAGGGTTAAACCCCAGCTTATTAGCCTATAGGCTACAAGTTAACTTGCTTCTGCTTAGGTATCAATTTCGGTTGTAGGGTAGGCTAATAATTGCTTTACGCTAATTATTACTGTCTCCTCTAATACAAGGCTCTAGTTAGACACAAGTGGCAACGCAACAGTCCCGGCCTACTTGGACAGCTGTAGCACTTAGTCAAATGGGGTATTCAATTATAAGTTTCTTTATTGCTATAACATTTGCAATAGTTTGTTGTTGCCACACTGTTGGACAAGGCGATGTATTAGAGGAGGTTAAGTTGATTATAGTGGACTCCCAATTATCCACAAGTGGATTAACCACACACTGTGGATTAAGCTTGATCACAAATAACTTAGATCAAAATATTATGCAAGTTTAATGTACGTCATCATACAGCTACGGCCAAGATGTTAAGCATGAGAAGGCCCATCATCTTGCTGGCTGACTGAGTTGCTGTTGTTTACTTGACTGACCACCGATGAGTCTCTGATTATAACCGATAAGGTGTTTTGATTTTTGTTAACAGGCCTTTATATAGGCCTACAATAAGCTATTATTTGTTTTATAAGGCAGGTTTGAAAAAATGTTAAATGTATCTATATTGCAATAAAAAACATTATCAAAGCTTAACCAGGCCAATGCATTCAAAGATAAGGCAGTTATTTCCTGGGAATTTTAGGTTAAGTTTGCATTATCCACAATTTCGATGAACCTGGATCACTCAGCCACTCATCGAGGATAATCGGGAGTCTACTGTATTTTGTAAACAAGATTAACTGATGTATGCAAATGAGTGGCTTATTGAAAAGTGAATTATATTTCCTAAGCATTACTGATTGCATGTACCGTGCATAGTTTGATTATCATTTTCCTGTAGCCTATAAATAAAATTTAAAGATTTAATTTTTACCTAATTGCCTACCTCTCTATACTTTCATTTAACTATGTGATTGAATGATTCTGTTTTTGCGCAACATGAAATAGCCCTTTTTGTTCCAGAATATCAAGAGCCAAAATGTCTAAAATTCAAACCAAAATTAATTTTGTGGAAAAGAAGAAGACTTCGGCACGCTTACAACAAAAATTTCTAAAAACTGACATAAAGAAAATTAGTGAAATAAATGCAGATTCACCTTCAAAAGAAGAAAAGTCAAAAAACAAAGAAAATGAGCTCAAAGTAAAAGTACTATGTCCAAAAAACCCTACTCTGCTGATTTACCGTATCTCACCCGTAAAGACTGCCAAAGCCAATGATATTAAAAAAGAAGATTTGCCTTGTATGATTGAATCGTCTCCTTCTAAAAGAAATTCAGCGACTTCAGAAGGAATTCAGAAAGAGTCTACCATTTCCAGATCACCACTGAAAGAGAAAACAGACAGTACAATTACACCCACCAAACAAAGAAAAGATCATTGTACAAGAACATTCACAAAAAAAGAAAATATAACATTACTTAAAGAAGAACCGAAAGGAAATAACGATTCCAGTGTTAAAAATTCCCCTTTAAAAAGACAATCACCTTCGAAAAAAAGAAAAGAAGGTAGGCCTACTATTAATTGTTATAGACCCTAATCAAACCAATAAGTTAGTAATTGCGGTGTGTAATCCACTCAACTTGTCATAGGCTACATTTTTATCTTGAAAAACTTGATCCTCCTATGTGATTTTAAGAGAATACTATAGGCTATAAACTTAAAATCTAAAAAGAAACTAATTTAAAACTAGAGCTCGACCCGTGGTCGAAAACTCAACCAAAAGTATGTATTGTGCAAACTTCTCTATTTTCACCCCACGCTGTAAATAAAACATGTGATTGGAATTTCTTTTATTTGTTTTGATTTTCTGTTTATATTTTGTTGTTATTAAGTCACCAACATGACAACCCATAAGGTCCATATACATTTTTTTAAAATTTAAAATTCTTTTTTGTGTTTATTTTTTAGCCAATTTCAACTTATAACGAGATTCTGCACTTCTACAGGCAAATATCTTTATAACAGTACATGCGTAGATATTCCCTGCGATGCACAGGAGCTGAGAAAAAAGGTTTTCAATAAACATGCTTGTAATTAATATAGGCCTATAGAATTAGCCCCATGTTAAATAATATCCATAAGAAAAGTTGAATTTCCATTTTTGACCCAATTAACATAGCCTAAATATTCTCAAAATACAAATAAAACTTGCTCATATAGGACCGATTCCCTTTCTTTTGGTACAACCCGCATGTAATTTGGTCCAGTAGTATGATTAGGCTAGCTGTCATAAGCTTCAAATTTTAGCCCCATGTTAAATCTCCATAAGAAAAGCTTTTTTACATTGGTTCTTAGAGGTCACCCCGCCCCGTGGTTGAAAACTCGACCAAAAATATGTAATGTACAGACTTCTCCATTTTCACCCCACACTGTAAATAAAACATGTAATTGGAATTTGTTTCGATTTTCTGTTTATAAGTTATTTTGTTGTTATTTTGTCACCAGCATGATAACCCATAAGGTCCATGTTAATTTGTTTTTAAATTTCAAATTTATTTATTTATGGTTATTTGTGAACCTCTTTTAATTTATAAAGGGATTCTGTACGTCTAACTCTCTTTGTATAAACTTAGGTGTAATGATATATGATATGTTTGAGACATGTTTAGAATATAACCTTTTAGCCTTTGTCTGTCTATATAAATATTTTTTAACTGGAAACTTTTGTTAATTTTGTTTTAGGGGATGGTTTAAGTCCTCCAAAACAAAAATGTGTTCAAGAAGAAACTCCAAGCCAGCTTTTAACAAAACTTGCCTTGAAAAGTCCAGAAAGAGCACAAGAATCAAGATCTCGGAAAGAACTTTTTCCTAAAGGTACATTTTATTTTACAAACGAAATGTTCGGTAAATTTTCATAACAAATATTTGACACCTTCAAAGGATTCTTTATTGGCCATAATACTCAGTCCTACCATCATTCAAAGGGTTTTAAAAATTTACTTTCATTTTTAACACAGAGATACGATTTTTGTTTAACCTTTTCTAGAGTAGAAAAATAGCTATATGCATCCTGAAGCCTACAGAAGAAAAATAGATCATGGCAGCTTAAAAACTGGTAAGTGGGCAGGGTAATGTTGTCATGATGGAAGCATGTAAGTTTGAAGTCTACACTTCTTTTGCTTGTCTGTGGAAAGGCGGGGGAAAAATTTAACTGTTTTTTGTATGATTATATTCAAATCAAGTGTCATTTTAAAATAAAATCCCCCCCTATTATCATAAAAAACTATGCCCTGTACTGAAAATTACAATGAACCGTTTTGGTGGAAACCCCAAAATCTGAACAAAATTATTAAATTGTATCAAAACGCATTAATTATTGTAATCAAACTGTGAGTAGTTTTAGACTGAAAGTGAAAATGTTTTTTTAAGAACTCTCCAATTTATCTTTCCTTATTAACAGATTCTATGACGCATAGAGAGAATTTGGCTAGAGTAGGGGAGGGGGAATTAAAAACACGGTGCTAGTGTTAGATTTTGTCTTGACTGTAGCTTGTAGGAGACATAACTTATGGATTACTCTCGTACCCGTTACCCAGTTACTGATGATTTCCTTCCGTAGGAGAGTTTGACGAGGCGTGTAAAGCGCTTCACAGCTCTGCGACCATAACTTATGGATTACCCTCGTACCTGTTACTAATGATTTTCTTCCGTAGGAGAGTTTGACGAGGCGTGTAAAGCGCTTCATAGCTCTGCGACCATAACTTATAGATTACCCTCGTACCTGTTACTAATGATTTTCTTCCGTAGGAGAGTTTGACGAGGCGTGTAAAGCGCTTCATAGCTCCGCGCCTGTCTCGCTGCCTGGTAGAGAAGACAAGTTGCAATACATAAAACAGTTCCTAACCAAACATGCAGACGACCAAAGTTCTGGTACACTCTATATATCCGGACCTCCAGGTACTGGCAAGACTGCCTCTATAAACTTGGCCATCTCAGATGCTAAGGTATGTATATTTTGCCAGATTAAAATTGTTAAATTACAACATTCACCATTGTAGGCACTCACAAGAGGCATGATTTTTTTTTAAACCTTCAATATCGAACAAATTTCCTAACCCTACTTTTCACCCTATGAACTCTTTGGACTGTGCAATGGTATAATTGTACAGTTTTTTTTCTGTCCCTGTTTTTTGTTTCCACTCTTGTTCTAATTACAAATATCAAAATGGTTTTAAAGTTTTTGGTGGGCACTCAAAGTAGTCCTATGGATAAGCAAAAGTAACATTTTCAAGTTGTTTTTAAGGAAATTGACAGGAAAGCAGGCTTACCTTTAAATAAGTCCATAGAGACACATAACACATCACAAAATTAAAAGTAGAAATTTTCGTGGTCACTGACCACTTTTTCAACCACTGGAGATTGGAGATTGATTTTCTCCAATCTCCAGTGGTTGAAAAAGTGGTCAGTGACCACGAAAATTTCTACTTTTAATTTTGTGATGTGTTATGTGTCTCTATGGACTTATTTAAAGGTAAGCCTGCTTTCCTGTCAATTTCCTTAATAATTCCTGGCAAATGCCCTATCCTTTTATAAGATTTTAAAGTTGTTTGCGATTTATCAATATAACTCCCAAAGAATCCACTCATCCTTTTACACCAACTTTGAGCTGTCAACCTTTTATTTTAGGAAGCCTCTCCCACCAATTTTTATCCACAGATAACCCCCAAATGAGTTGCCCACCAGACCTGTCCCAATAGGTATTGGAACTGTCAATCTAGAGCAGCGTCTTCTGACTATTGAGACAACGTATTATACTGCTCGGCCATTGACCTGACACATGTGTCTACCGTACTAACAGCCCTTTCTATTCAACTAAAAGTCAGAGCTCATCAATTCTGTACTTGACTCATGTTGCTACTCACGTCAAATATAGTTTTTACCAGTTTTTGCTCAGTTTGAATAACAGTTGCAAGTGGAAGTTTACTTACATTTACTCTTGTGTCTGATGAAAAGGTTAATTTTGTGTATTGCTTTATGGTAGGCCTACAGTACTGTAGGAGGAAAAAGTTAGTTTTATTTGTACACCTTCATTAACTGCACATTCTCAGCCATCTAATCTAATAAAAATGTGGCCTTTAATATGATACACCTACTTTATGTAATGTTAGCTTACAATTTAGATAATTAAACTGATTGAAATTTAAAATTAAAATTTTTAATACTTAATAATAGGAAGCATATTTGTTGTGTTGTTGGATTTTTACAGTAGTTTTTTTTCAGATTGCGGATCAGTACAAGGTTGTATGTTTAAACTGCACGTCCATCACATCTTGTGGGTCAATATACAACAGAATAGTTAGCGAACTGAAACTCAAGGCCCTTGGACATTCTGAGAAAGCTGCTCTTTCGGCAATAGAAAAACATCTGGAGTCGGGCAAGCGGAAAATGATGTGAGTTGAGTATATTACATTTAAACAACTCTATGGTCTTTGGCAATTCAATTGTTGCCATAAAACATTTTATCCAAGCTAAGTGTAAAACTCATTGAATCCTTAACATATTTCTGCATTTTAGAATCTGTACTTGTCAAACGACAGTGCATTGGTTTGGGTAGGTAATTATATGCTGCACAGACTAAGAAAGTGTTAAATACCATTCTTTTATTGTTGTGTAACAAATAACATTCTATTAATATAGTCCCACAATTTCCCTTCAGTTTTGTACGTTGTTTTAGCAAACTAAGCAAACTTCCATTTACATAGTTTATTTATTTTTCACTAAAATATTCCCTTGAAATTGTCGGAAAATAAAGTTTATTTATTCTCCATATTTTTTGCTAGAGAGAGGCACACTTTATCATAAAGCTGGGTAACTAAGTTATCAAATAACCTATCTGGCAATAAAAAGGATGCAGGTTTACGATGCTGAGGAAAATAAAATTGTTGATGGTTTGAGTCTTTGAACATTAAACTTCAAATAAATAAAATAGCCCATGCTAAAGAAACAGTTGGGTTTTAGCATAGGCAAATGGAATACAGACTGTCAATGGAAGGTTCTACGATGTGCCGCTATGAGTGCTGCTAGGAGTGCTGTGAAGTTACAGCATACAGCTCCTCGCCTGCAGCGGTGTGCGCTGTAACTACACGGCACTCCTAGCGGTGGACGCCGGAACATATGCTAACCCCAGCACTGCTGATGGTCTATATTTGTTCTATTTGTCTATGGTTGTAGTGAGTAACAAAGCTACATAGAGCATCTCACTCCATTCCACACTGATCATTCACTCATATTTGGGTAAAAATATTCTTGGGTCTTCACTTTATTTTATTTGAACAATTTTGTTACAGTCTAATAGTTCTGGATGAGTTAGACCAGCTATGCAGTACCAAACAGTCAGTGCTGTATTCTGTATTTGAGTGGCCGTCTCGGAAGGACGCTCGCCTGGTGTTGATAGGTATTGCCAACGCACTTGATCTCACTGACAGAGTGCTGCCTAGGTTACAGGTAAGCTGTGAATGTGACACCATATTCATGTTGCTTAAGAAATAATTTCATATTTTCCATAACTATAAAGTCACAACTCTTATGGTTGGATTCGGAATCTGATCCGCATTCCAGGAATTTTAAAATTCCAGATTCCAAACCCAGGACCTTTAAACAAAGGACATGGAATATAGTCCATGGCGATTCTGGAGCTAAACAACTATATAGGCCTAACTTAAAAATTGACCAATCATAGCGCTGCGTTCAGCCCGTAATGCTGAGGTGTCGGAGACATCAGGAGTAGGTGCGCCACCCCAGAGTAGTTACAATTATTGCCTTTACTGTTTGGGTAGCGTCAAATTTCTCAGTCCATAGGGTACAAATTGGATACATAGTAATTCTAGTTTTGCCCCAGATTATCAATATTATCCGATTATCGTTAGTTTTGTTCAGCGTATTTTGTTGATAGCGAGCTAAGCTTGGGTAGTTGTAACTTGTAAGTGATAGTTTGGTTATGATAATCTTAAAAGCCTTCCTTTGAGCTCAAAAGATGTAGGAGCTCTCACACAGAAAAGCGAAAATGTCTTAGCATATTTTGCCTTTTCACGCCATTGACATTTTTTACCTTTTTTACAAAAAAAAAAGTTTAAAACTCTGATATTGTTACTATCTAATGTCAACCTTTAATGTTAAATTGCATCAGTAATTGATATCCCAATAATGGGTTTAGAATCGACCTCTCTTGTTATAGAACCAACAACCTCGAGATTTTAAAGTAAACACCACAACCACCTTACTACCTACACAACTAATGATAAAGCTTAGTAATTAACTCCATATTTAACTCATTGCATCTGTAGCAATGACAACTGGAGAGAACAACTGGGAGTAGAACTGTCATAGATCTTGAATAAATGTTTGATTTTACTTTCAGGCTCACTTAGCTTTCCAACCAACCGTCCTTCACTTCCCGTCCTACACTAGACAACAGATCATTGATATCATTGCTGATCGACTGACCCAGGTAAGGACTGTGTTCGTATTATATTCTACTTTAAATGTAGCTCTAGTCTTCATAAGGTAGTCTTAATAATTTAAAACTTTACACAGGCATTATTTAAATTATTAAATTGACTATCACCTGAAAATTTATTAATTGTACGAGTTAAAGTTATTGTTTATTAGTGTTAGTACTTAGTATTATGACAGAGACAACATTTTTTAGTAAGCAAAATAAACAAATGTTGACATGCAAGACTATGTAACCATCACTATAACTATTACATACATAAAGGTCTATCTTGTTGAATTTTGGTCTGTGAAAATGACTGCGTCGTTGAATTGGCAAAAATAATGGCCGAAGTTTTGGATGCATTGCAGCAAACCATATTTGGGGCAACCATACATGATAAATAAACTTTTTATGTAAACATTTTTTTTTCTAATTTCATTTTTATACATTAGTAATCTCACTTTTGTAATATGTTTAAATTAAATGTTCACTACATACAGTTGTGTGTTACTTCACTAGGCTGGCGTAGAGGCTGTATTCTCAAAACCTACTCTACAGCTGTTGGCTGGCAAGGTAGCAGCAGTCAACGGAGATGTTCGCCGAGCTCTCGATATTGCTCGCAGAGTGGTCGAGGTTGCTGAGAAACGTAGCATGCAAGACGAACGTTCGGAAAGTGGTATGTGTCTAACAAGTTGTTATGTCTAGACGAGAAACTTCGCTAAACTCACTTCTGTGACACTAATTACTAAGTGCTAAGGAAAGGGGAGATGACATAATTATACCGAAAAGATTGACGGTTCCCTCATAAGACTTAAGCTAGGATAGCACGCTTACGTGAATGGGGATGAGTCCATCAACAAACAGAACTTTTTTACACAGCAATTCGAATGTTTCATTGTCACTGACAGCATTTTCAACCAAGTTTGAGTTGATGTCAAGTAGCTTGGAAATCAACTTAGAAAAGTTACAATGTTGAAATCTTTTCCAATCTAGAAATTCCAATATAGATAGTAATTAAATTACTAACATCTTTTGCCAGGGCGTCATGAATACTATAGTTCGGCCACTTAGAAAGCGACCTGCGCGCTAATGCTAACCAATGCTGGAGGAGCTATCTAAGCGGCCGAACTATAGTATGGAGTTGATTAAAATGAACTTTTCTGTTTATTTGTTGATTTTAGTAAGACAAAACTTTACTCTATATACACAAAACATTAGAATATTTCACTGTCTCTGACAGCATTTTCAACTAAGGAAGAGAGAGTTTTCTAGATGTCCAAAATCTTTTGGTGTTCCTGTGCCAGTTTGGACTCTTTACCATTCAGGTAAGCCTGCTATCCTCTCATCCTTAACTTTATACATACTAAACTTGTCATCAATAATATCATGCAGTGGCTATCTATTCTGCTTGAGTAAAAATAAGTAACACAAGCTGAGCCAAACAAATATTTGTGTAATTTGTATCTTTGCACCTGGACTCCATTTTACACATGTAAGTTGGAGCCTAGCACTACTAATACCCCCTTCCAACTTTTTCAAGAGTGTATGTTTCCATAGCTCAAGATACTTGTAATTACTGTTCTGCCCATCGATAAGAGAAAGATACCTTATTGTAAATAGTTTCTTTGTTATCAATTGATGATGAAAACTGTATTTAATCGAAACTGTAGGTCCAAAGGCACAAACAGTGGCTTTGCAAGAAGTGATGGCAGTCATCAATGATGTTTACAGCACTGCACAAACACTAGACTCTTCCGAAACTGACAGTTTCCCTCTACAACAGAAGCTTCTCATCTGCTCACTGCTTCTCATACGACAAACGGCAAAAAGCAAAGATGTCACTGTTGGAAAGGTGAGATAAGAAACATTTAGGGATAGAAAAAGTAGCCTTATAAAACATCAGTCAGAGTGAATTTAAGTATTTTTAGTATTTTTTCAGATTTTATAAAGAAGACAATAAAATACAATACAATATTCTTTATTGTTCATTCGTTAAGAATTACAATAGTGTCAATACAATGTCAATACAATAGTTGAGGTCAATATCCCCATCCCCAGACCTAAACAGCTACACAACCAACTCACCTAAGACAATGGTTCCAGGCATTTTAATGCACACAAAAAGTCCATCGTACATTAAAGTTTATGTTTTACCCCCAGAAGAGCTTCTGAACTTATGAAGGGTCTTTCCGAAGACCTTAGTAGAAGTTGACATTCTGCTGTAACACATTCTTCTGTAGCTCCTTTAGAGGGACGAAATAACATGTTTGAAATGTTTGGCCATCTAATCTGCTTAGATTTCTAGGACAGTTGGTATCCCATTTCTTCCTTCATGTATTCCGAGGCCAAAGAACTTGTTTTAGCTTTTGAAATTTATTAAGACTGTAGTACAATAATACTAATGGAACGACTACTTGAACTTTTTATCCCCAATAAACTGTTTCTGACTGTTTACCACACTCACGCAATTAAATTAGTTACACATCATGTACTGACACTGCAGGTATAGGAACTGTGAAATAGTATGCAAAAACAATTGTTTTACTTGAAAAAAATTACATGACTTGTGTACTTTAAAGAAATATATACTTTTTTTACTGTACTTTACTTCAAGATATGCATCTTAAAAGAGTTTAACTATTACTTCTTCATGGTGAATTTAGAATCTAAATTCACCATGAAGAATTTAAATGTCTTTAATACAGCTTAAAAATAGTTTAAAAAAAGTGTCAATGAAAGTGATTAATTTATGGTGTTCCATTTGCTATGTTAGTGCACCTTCCAATGGCCTTTCACATCCACGCCATTACTGTTTGAAAGTTAGATGTTTCATGAATTTGAGATTTGTAAAATGAACTGCCCTCGTGCTGGATTAAGTGGTCAAAAATTTGACTTCTAAGTTGCACTTCAAATTAATTCAAACAATCCATCATATCTATTTGATCAATGATTTTATTTGCAAATGACACACTTCTGCACCTACATAAAACTCAAAGAAATATTATTTTTAAAAGCTAGACCACCATGTCTAACACAAGTTAGGCTATATGGTTCACATAATTACTAAGTTCGTTACGTTCCAGCTTCATGAAGTCTACAAGAAAGTTTGTGACCGGAGGAATCTGTCTGCTCTAGACATGTCTGAGTTCATCTCTTTGATGCCTCTAGTTGAAGCTAGAGGGATTTTAAGGATTTCCGGAAAAACCCACAACCGACTATCAAAGGTAGGTGTTAGTTTGAACTGTGTAAGTTCATTTAAAATTTCCATTTTGATTGTTTCACAAAAATTTGAAGGGAAAGTAATTACATTTCTTTCTTGATAGCTTTATTTATAATACTTGATTCAAGAATACAGTTGAATTATTAAAGATAATCTGATTTGGAAGTGTCGGATCATGTAGAAAACATAAATTTAAAAAAATCATACAAATACTAAAATTAAGTATAATGCATGTGGTAATATTAGCTTTCGGCATACTGCAGCAAAAACAGCTGTTTTTATTTTTAATACATGCGTTGCGGGTCTAAAATAGCTTTTGTATTTTATAGGGAGTAAAAGTTAGCTGTCGTGAACTGTGATTGTGAGCTTGGGTCGAAAAGACTCATGTTACGGAATAGTGATGAAAAATATACTATAGAGTTTATGCTAAGAAAATTGTGAAAAAAACTTGTGTTGATGCTTTAAGTCCATAATCAAGAACTTCAACACAAAAACGTTTCATTATTGTTCAGATAATGGTTTTTGATATCTTGGCTATTATTTATAGGACTATCAATCAAGAGTTGTATTCTCAATTGCGAGCTGTATTGCATTTGTAAATTATAGGCCTACTATGTTCACAAAATAGAGGGATAAATCCATCCCCTCTACGTGGCCATACTTAAAGCTAAATCTCAACAGCTGATATTAAGAAACATTTATTAAACCTGCTGATCAGCTGCAACATATATAAAGCAAAATAAGTGGTGGGGGAACACAGTTTGAAGGTTAAACAGCCTAAATTTTGTAAACGGTATATAGTAATATCTTTTAATCTACAATTTAGTATTATGTCTATCAATAATTAAAATTGTAGGTATATTTTTGCTCTCCTAAATTTTGCCTGGATTGTAGTATCTTATATTTTAAAAACTTTTTATGGTTCATATGTTTTTTTTAGTAATTGTTTATCTTTTTATAGGTAATCCTTCAATGGGATGAAGGAGAGGTGAAGAATGCTCTTCGTGACAAGCAGCTTCTTGCAGCTGTTCTTACAGACAAAGGAATAGTTTAAGCAACCTCTTTACAACCTACTTATTTATTAAACATCGCGCTATTTACTAAATTGTCCTTCATTGACACAGTTACCTTTACCTACTGCCTTAGACCAACAGAATATAGAAAGATTCCAATCATAGTTGCTCTATCACACTGAGCAGTTAGTGTAGGAATAAATTAATAAATTTCAAAACATATTAGGAACCATTTAATAATGGCAAATCGGAAAATTGGCTTTAGTTATGGTAGAATTTATATTTGGTTGACTTAGGTAGTAAAAAAAAATATCAGACTCAATTTGACTAGATAATATATTTACAGACTTATAATAATTGTCCTTTTGAAGATACTTCGTGCAAGGTTATTGAATGTTTCTTCAGTAGGGCTACAAGCGGATCATCTGCTGTGTTGCTCAGTGAATCATATTCCGTCCCAACACTCCACAACGTTTCTAGGTCATAAAATGTTCTTGCATCAGGGGAAAATATATGGAGTGCTATGTTTCCTACAACAAACATCGTTGGATATATAAAAAAAATCATCGGTATGACTAACACAAATTACTAATGTTTACGCTTAAATGTAGGGATAGACAGATTACATAAAGATAGTAAGGTAAATGACCTGACTGTAATATATTTTACAAATCTCTGTTACTAAAATTTGCCAAATTTTAACTATAGACTAATGTAGTTTACGAATAGATCAGTTTAAAGTTATAAGAAATTTAAGGTAAAAAAAACCCAACAGAATTAGAGGACATCAAGACGCATTCAAACATTATTAATTAATGTTTCCTTCCCTAAAAATAACTGTAAAAAATTACACATTGTATACCATTGTGATTTAGTTGGTCAGATGCTTCAAAACATCTTCTATGGACATACAAATTTAAAACACTTCCCCCCAGACCCCATTGGTGCACCCCCCCCCCTTAATTTTCTCCTTCTTTTTTACACTTCATGTCATGTCTGGTGTAAATGTGGCCTAAGAGAATATGTTTCATCTACATTAACTTACCACCATACATAAATTATGTCAACTACACAGTAAAATAGCAGAAGACAATTATTACCAGATTTGTTTTCCATTAACAGTTATTATACTTAATTTAATTTATTTAGTAGGTAGACCTACTGATATAAGCTACTAACCTAAATCCAAAGCTATCCATGTTGATGAACCTTCACCTTCTATTCTTGGAATTATATCTGACTCATTTCTCTTCTTTTTAAACATTCTTCTTACTATTTGAGCAATAGCTGTCATGTGTCTGCGTGATCTTGCTGAAACAATAGCAATATGATCCACGTATCTTGCTTCAGGAGGCAGTTCAGCAATAAATATGTCTTCGGCTTTCTCTCTTCTGAGTAGCTCTACCAATTGTTCAATGTCAAATACTCCTGCTATACCACCTACAAACATAAACCATCATAAACACATTTTGCTGAATAAATTTATTATTAATCTGTATTATAAATTCTGTAAGAAATTATTTTAAATAAAAATTGTGAGAGTTCACAGCTCGCAGGATGATGGGAGAGGGCTCAAATTAAAGGCCTTGGTCCCAGGGGGTCAAGAGCAATGAACATTAGCAGATGATTTGATTGACAATGAAAGTATAGTTAGACTAGAAAAAATACCTAATCAGCACCCTAGTTTTATACTCTCGGCAACTGAGGTCGTCAATAGCAGACCTTCCAACTCTCCTGCATTCTGATGATGTCCACTCGCGCTCTACCGCTTTCAGTAGAAAAACTCCCGCATATCTGATTCTACGTAGGCTAAACAAATTTTACATAGGCTACACAATAGGGACTTTTTTGGAAAATCGGGAATTTTTCTTCACGTTAACATTAGGTTTGTAACTCTGCAGATTTGGAGTCTGCCCGGGCGGGACTGTCATCTCACTTGTCTATCGTTCCGTCAAGTAAACATAACCTTAAAAGTTGAATCCAGGCGTAAAATAACCAAGTGTGTAGTCTGTTAGTTAAGTTGTTTATTTAAGTTTTGTTTTGTCGGTTAAGAAGTAGAGTAGTAAGTGTGTGATGGAGAGTAATTCGGACTTTTAAATAACAATGTACGTTTTTGAATTATATGAAATGGAAAAAATTAATATTTAAAACTCTATTTATACATGTTTTAATGTTGTGACACACCGCAGCCTAATTTAGCCTTATTCAGAGAATCCTCTCATTCCACAAACACACACCTTAGACTGCTTATATAACGATAGAGCCTCTCCCAAACAGTGTTAGGGTTGTATACAGGTGCAACATACAGCTGTGTAGGAGTTGCAAACCAAACCTGAACAAGATAGGATTTGAAGGGTAGACTTTCATAAGTAGGACCAAAAACAACCAAAAGAATATATCGTTTATTTCATTCGATATATCAAGTTTGGTTAGTTATGTTAACCTAACCTAACTAACGGAATGAAATAGGCCTAATCGATATATCAAATGGAAATTATATTTTCATTCGGTTGTTTTTGGCCCCACTTATGAAAGTCTACCCGATTTAAATCCTGTATAAATTTGAGTTGCTCTCTATTGACCAGAGGGACACATTAGACTGCTTGGTCATTGGTTAGACCAGACCTAATTGTCTTCCAGTACTGTAGGCTAGGCGTAGCCTACTAAAATCAAAATCATAGAGGATACGCGACCGGTAACCGGATGTGGATTAGGCTTCCGGCAGTTACTGTCATAACCTAACCTAACCAAAACCAACCAAACTTATATAGCTGATATTGAAAAAATCGAATGAAGGTTAAATTCTGTCTATAAAATAAAATTATAAATGCCAAAAATTAAAAAAAAAGATGTAGGCTACTACAGTTAAGAAGAAATGGCATTCAAAGCAAAATCTTTGACAAAAAGTTACTGATGGGATTTGAACCAGGGACCTCTTGCATATCTGCCAACCACTCTATCCACTACACCATGAACACCAATGTCTGAACTTTGTATCGTTGTGGTAATGGCATTCCGGGCCCCCACAAACCGGTGACATCACTGCCAGACGCATAATCCACGTCCGGTTACCGGACGCGAATCCTCTGTGTACTGAAATACTACTAGCCTAACTTATTAAGCTTAAGGCAAATGTGGTTATTCTAAGCTCGACCCTCAGGCTGCAGCATGTCAAGTAGGCCTACCTAAACTTTATAGTAGCCTACTGTATCCTAGAGAATTCAACCCTTTTGTTGGCCTCGCTAGCCTTTTTACACGAATAGGTGTAACTTAACCTAGGTGAAGATTTGGTAATGATGCTGGTTGACTTATCAGCCAAGTCTTAAAGACTTTTACAGTAGACTAGGCCAAGGTAAATCTAAATTTCTGTTCGTACAAATGAATATGAGAAAACTTACGCTCCAAACTAAGTCCATGAAACTCCTCAACCGTCTCTGGAACATCAGTTTCTTCTAACATCTTTTCCGCATACACATCGAGTAAAATTGGTGCATCTTCATCATGGAATACTTTATACCTGGATTCTAAACCGGGCTGCACTAATTCATCTGTATCACTTTTATTGATTGGTCGATCAGATTTGTTCAATGAATCATTGAAGTTATTCTTGTCTTCCTTTTGATCACAATAACATCTAGCTTTAACCTCAACAGAAGATAAGAAGAGATTCCTACTAGGACTATAAACATTAAACCTATTAAAAAACACACTTTTAATGATTTGATTCATTATTTTTTAATCATCTACAGTCCATAAAAAAGTCCCTATCGATTTTTACCTCAAGAATAATGTAATTCTGAAATAGCAAACAACCGATTAACCTTAAAATAATTCTAATACACAACAAAAACAAACAAAGATAACCTTAAATATTTTAAGAACTCACAAAAACAAAACCCTTTGTTTGACTTTGACTTGACGAGACTTTGAGATATCCGAGATATCATATTGGGCTTATGCTACAAAAAATACCTATGCACAGTTGGTTGACTTATTTTTTAAACATGTAGCTGCGTGATTGTTAGGTCATGTTTGTTCTATATTGTGTTTATATTTTATGACTGCTAATGTAATCGTCGATTTTTTTTGTTTTTGTACTTTTAAAGCCAAATTCATATATTAGTTAGTACAAATCTAATATTTCCTTATCGGGTTTATTAACGTTGTTTCAGTAATCCCCCCTTCACTTCTACTCCCCTTGTTTCTTTAGGTACAACCACAACCATAGACAAAAAGAATTAAATATAGACAGTCAGCTTTGCTGCGTTTACCATAGGTTCTGGCGCACACCACTGGGAGTGCCATGTAGTTACGGCGTACGCGCTACCATAGACAAAAAGGATTTATGGCGCTACGTAACTTCGCGGTGCGCTCACATTGGTGTGTGCCAGAACCTATGGTAACCACAGCACGGCTTACAGTCTATACTTAATTCTTTTTGTCTATGGTACAACACAGAAGTAAGGTGCAGAGGTAACATTGAATTGTACACTTATGTGGCGTCGAACACTAGTGTTGGTGTGGTGTTTAGGGAAAATATATCATGCACGTACAAGTGGCGGATATAGAATATTTTTTGGGGGGGTGGGGGCTAAGATTAATGGTTAGGTTAAGTAATTCCTAGTAGAAACGCAATCATGATGATACTTTATCTCAGTTTTGCTGCGGTAATTTGCACTAAATGTGACCTTTACTTTACCAAGATGACGCTGTATCATCATATGGTTCCATTAGATCATACAAATGTGTCTATTCAAGCCAAATGAAGAAAATATCTCAATTACTAAACTAAATCAAAAAAACATTGGTCAAGATTTAACGGTGTGTCACCCCATCTGTAAATACTTATCCGAACCCAAGGAGTCAAATACGCGATTGTGGTTATCATATTCGGAGGGTGTTCTAACATAGACAAATAATAGTGTCCATGGTTCTAACTACTGTATAAGTATTCTTTTGTGGGAACTGCAAAACGTTAACATTTCAGTACAGCATATGCCGAACAGATGTAGTAAATAACCTAAAAGAAAATTAAGTTATTTAACTTATTAAGGTAAGCAGGTTAACAATAACAATGGCATAATGGCCACTGAACTGACTGGCTGAACTCTTCATTACTCCCCTCACCTGTCACCGTTAGATATGCTGGTCTCTAGCGGAAGATAGCCGGGCGGTGGGTGGGAGCTCGAGTTGGACTGAATCAACCCTAACTCGCTCAAGCTATCACTTTTCTGCCACGGTGAAGACTTTGCGCATGATTCATGATAAATAATTCATATTGGTACCTATTTATTCTTCATATCAATTATTTTGGGGGAGGGCCTGGCCCCCGGGCCACCGATTATATCCTCCCCTGGCCACGTCCTGACTGTATAATGCAAGTACCTCTAGGTTCTAGAAGATTGGCCGGTGATTCTGGAAGATACCGAGCTGATGTAATAATCCTCAAGAACATCTTCAGCCGCTGAGGAGTGCCCCCCACAGTTACCAGTGCCACAGGTCACATGGCTTTGAAATAACATTAGTACTCCAGTACTCGGCTAATACAGATTATTTGTGTATTTCAGTCCTAAGATGACTCAGAAGCTTAACGCATACCTGCGAGATGTGTTGGTTCCAACTTAGCCTGGTGGTTGGTATCAACAGTGAATCCTAGAAGCCTTACCTCTTCCACTACTCTATACGTCTCAGCGAACCAGTGACTGGGTTTTGTAATCATTAATGTTAAAAGGCGGTTTGTAACAAACAATTCTTTAACTCTTTCAAGAAGGTCATCTTCTCGGCCTCTGTTGTTAGTTGGTGAATATTAACACCCCTGGTCAGCAGTGTTTTATCTGTGCTTGTATCATTTGCAAATAATACTGTTTTTCATTCAGATGTAGGAGAGGTCTATATTGTAAAGAGGAGAGGGCCAAGCATGCGCCCCGGCGTGTGAGAGGTAGAGGTGTCTAGTCAATGGTGAGAGATACGCGTGTGAGAGAAGGAAATGGCTCCTTGCTTGCAGAGACACAGATTGCTTACAGTCCCTCGTCTCAGATAGTTAGGAGATGCTCTCTTGAGAACAACACTGCCAACACCATATTTGCTTAGCTTTAGCAGGAGGATATTACGAGGTACAACATAAAAAGCCTTACTTAATTAGCCGAGGCTATAAAATAAAGCTGGCTATTAGCTGCCCAAATCAGGATGGTGTCGACTATAGGCTCAGAAGGGTGGTGGTAGAGTGGTCTTTTCTGAAACTGTTTTAGATAGATATATGAACTGCTATTGTCCTAAAAATCGACACGAGTTGCTTCTTTATTATATTCGAGTTTAGAGAATACAGGCATAATAGAAATAGGCCTAAAGTTAAATAGATGTGGAAGCAAATCCCTTCTTATTAGATTGGTCTAGAGAGAGGTACAACTAAAGTTTCAACAATAGCCTTTAGGGCCATGCACCCGGGGGTACACTATATAAATATCTTGACTTCTAGAATTTTTGATGTTTTTAACTATTTGTTGGGATTTATGAGTACTCACTATTGTCTAGGTTGTTAGTGTGAGTTCAGTTGGTATGTCTTTTATTGAGATCAGAGACGTCTGTAAAACAGGAAGGTTAGAGAAGATACAGTGACCTGAACGCCATTTACCAAAAATGCTATCATCAGGCTTCAGTGTTTAGTACAGGCATCTGGATACGATGCCCTTTTACAAGATTCTAGGCAGCTTTGCATGGATTCGGAGACTGTATGATTATCCTAGCATTGCAGGCTCTCTTGGCCTGAGTGACCTCAAATATGTATTTTTTCTTAACCCTAGTGAACAGTTTCCGCATTTCCAAACAGTACTCATTGTTCGGGCTCTCCTTGCTGGCCACAAGTATATGTCTGCCCCAAAGAACCATAGCTGAAAGCGCACACCCGTCCCCTGAAGTTGTTTAAACATCTTACACTTTACAGTCCTTGTAAGATATACAAGGACCTTAACCTTGCCAATTACCTTAACCTAAAACCGCAGCACACTGTAAAAGAATGGTTGGTGACCCCTATCTTGAAAAGACTATGGTGACGGAAAAACTAGTTTTTACTGAAGGGCCTCTTTATTTATTTAGAAAGTATCCATACACACTTATATCCATATCATACGATTAACTTAATTATTTTATTTTCAAGCTTTCAGTGTGTTGGCCAGCCTGCTTCGTTCAAAACAAAACAACAGATGGCGGTTGTCGGTTGTCGGATTCGTTGTGTCTGTCTGTCTGTTCCGTAGTCGTAGTCTGTCTGTGTGTTTTTGTGTCAGTTTCAGTTTCAGTTTCAGTTTCAGTTTGAAAGCGTGTCGTGAGTGCGCGTGTGGAATACTGCGCGGTCTTCTGCTGTTTCGAGAGTTGTTTACAATGGTTTGGTTGTGAGATTTAGTGATTGAATTGTTATAATTTGTGTTTGTGTTCATCATTGTATGCTCCAGTGATGATAGTTCCTGTTCTTCATTAAATTCTTGCTATCGCCAAGGGATTTTTGGATTCTAACCAAAGCCGGCTTTTGTCTAAGTTAAAAGTGGAGAATACCCATAAGGTAAGAATATAACTATTTCGACATAATTAAGGACTGTTTTCTCTCAACCCGGTTTACAGAATCAATTATAAACAAATGTCGGCTATGTATACTGAAAACTTGTTACTTTAAACAATTCCATTAATAGCAAAACTTACTTGTAATATTAGACAAGGCTGTGAGTGTCACAGCCATAGCCTGAGATGACAAACAAAGGTAGGGTAAGATAAAAAAGTTCTTCGGTAGTTAGTAATGACACTTGGCTAAGGCCTACATAGCATTGTTTTGACTGTTATATTAGTTTGTGGTTAAGTAATGATTTATATCTATTAAATTTGAGCCTAGCCTATTGTAGGGGCAAGGCAAAGGAACTACATCTGCTTACCTTCTGGATTTGTTCTCAAAGCTACCATCTAAACACTAACACTCTAGTGGTGTAGGTGGAATCAGTATGCATGTCCTAAAATATTGTAGGGAGGAAGTGGCAGTTCCTCTTACCCATATAGTCAATTTTTCACTGACATCTGGAATTTTCCATCAGAATTGCAATTACTGCAAAAATAAAACCAATTTTTAAAAAGTCAGACAGAACTGACCCGGGGAATTATCACCCAATCTCTCTCCTACCAGTCGTTTCAAAATTGATTGAGAAAGTTGTTTCGGAGCAACTTGGCAACTTCTTGGAAAAAAATAACATATTGTGTGACAGACAATGGTTTTAGACGCAACAAATCAACAAAATTGGCACTCATTGATTTCATCAACAGCAGTATAGACGCAATGGAGGCTGGAGAAACAGTAGTCGGTTGTTTTGCTGATCTCTCCAAAGCCTTCGAAAGTGTCGAACCTGCGATTCTATTGGAAAAATTGGCATCAATTGGAATCTCAGGACTTGCGCTGAAGTGGCTCACATCCTATATGAGCAACCGATTCCAAGTCACTGAGATTCAAAAAAACACAAATTCTAAAACTGAAAGAATTTCATCCACAAAAAAAAACTGATCTCCAATGGTGTCCCCCAGGGATCTGTCCTTAGACCTCCCCTTATCTTGGTCTACATCAATAACATAACAGATACTGTTCCGCAGGACAGCGTCTACCTCTTTGCGGATTATATGAAATTGTTCGTTTAAGGTGGACTGACGAGGCCCTGGATGCAGAATCTAATCAAAGAGCTTGAATGATCTGGCTGACTTTTTTTCTTCAAACAAACTCAAATTAAATTCACAAAAAAACAGGATAGGTACCGGTACATGTGTATCCAAATTCTGCAAAAAGACAAAATTTAAATAATAATAGGACTCTAAACCTATTAATTGGAGAGGATCAAATTCAAATTTCAAAAACTGCCGACTTTTTGGGAGTGAGATTGGATGATAAATTGAGCTGGGATGCACAAATAAAAAAAACTGGAGGGGTCATTGGCTCGAGGGGTCTTTGTACTTCGAAGAATAAGGACCTTCGGAAACCTGGCTCTCTCTAAACTTATTTTGGCCTAATAGAACAACACATTTTGTATTTAATCATCCTATGGGGAGCTGTGAAGAAGAATATTGATCAGATCTTTGTTTGGCAGAACATGGCAGTAAGAGCAATCTTGGGCATGCCGCCTCAGACCAGCTTCAAAAATGTATTTAAAGAACTTGGCTTTCTCACAATCCCTTCACTTTTTATCTATGAATCAGTTTGTTATATAAAATCACAGAACATTAAACCAACTTTTACAAATCACACTTACAACACCCGAACAAAGGGCACACATGCAGTCCAACATAAACTCACAAAATTTGAACACAAACCAGATTAGGCTACATGGGAATGAAATTGTACCAGGCCCTACCGAAAAATTACTTGAAATTCAGAGCTTAACAAAATTCAAATCAGAATTTAAAAAATATCTAGTGGAGTTAAGTTTACAGGACATAGACAGTTACCTTAATGGTGACAAAAACTAGTGTTGGTAATTCTTTGTATTAACCCTGACCTGTCCAATTCCTTAAGGCAAAGGACTACAGACGGAGAGATCATGTATCATGTATGTATGTATCAATTTGGGAAGGAAAATACTGTAATCTCTTTTATCACTCTAGAAGCAATGCTAATTTTAAAATTACTTAACAGTGCTCTTTTTTTACAGAACAGTTACATTTTATTTAATCTAGCCTACCTCATATTCAATTCAATTTGTTTAAGGGTATTGGCAAATTTTTAGGTAGGGCCTAGGTGCACTAATTGTTAATATAACTGAATTTCATTACTGTATATTGTACACCTGAAATGTGAAATAACCTTTTAAGCTTTGCCTTGAATAACTACAGTATAGAGAAAGACTGTAGCCTACAGAAAATCTAACTTTTATTTTTAAATGAATATAATAAATTACAGTATCAATAGCCTACTTTAAATACTTTTAAGTTAAGTTAGGCTAATAACAATTTCTCTGCTCAGGGTTAAGTTCCTGATAGAAATCTTGCTTACTTGCTAGGAACGTCTGTTGGATTCAGTTCAAACGGAATTGGTCAGACACATAATTTTAGAGCCTGTGTTATTGGAGCCTATGTGTGTTTAATTTTCCGGCTAAAAACATGAACAAAAAGGAACAACAAGTGTTAGTCTGTTTCCAAATAGGACATGCATTTTAGTTCAACCTCATTAAGCTAAGCACTCTACAAGTTGGAATTTTCTGTTTATGATACGATGCCATTCATACTTGGCTTAAAATACCTAGCCTACTTTGTGTGGTCGCCATTTCATTGCAAAGTATTGAGTTTTTTTTTTTTTTTTTTTTTTTTTTTTTTTTTTTTTTTTTTTTTTCATTCCAACGGCAAAACCATTATACATTTCAATACAAGAAAGATGGCTAGGTACTATTTACATACTAAAAAAAATAATGGATACTGAGTGCTAACAAATACATAACATACAAGCAAATAAATAGTAGTATAACAAACGATGCAACAACAACAACACTGTGGCTAATTAATAAACTATTGACATACCACAAAGAAGAATTTCTAGAAAGCTATCAGGCACACATGGAAGTTCCTTACTAGATAGTATAAATAAATATAACAAAAAATATAAATAAATATAACAAACAATATAAATAAATATAACAAACAATATAAATAAATATAACAAACAATATAAATAAATATAACAAACAATATAAATAAATATAACAAACAATATAAATAAATATAACAAATAACAACAAATGACATTGACAACAACAGCAACAATAAGACTTTTCAATGGTGTTCAATGGTGTGACGGGCTTCGAGAACTCTTCTACGAACAGAGGAAGTATTCTCGTGGAAAAAGTCGACTGTGTGGCAGAATCGATTCCCAAGCCTCATCATTCTTGCAAGTGGGCTGTGGAAGTCGTAACCACGTGCATGATGCCTCCTGCCGAACAGATCCAGAGATCGGGTCACTGATGGAGTGCGGAAGTCCACCTGAGTGAGAAGCATTGGGCAGTCCAACAGGCCATTGATCAGCTTGGCGAGAAATACTACATCTGCCACTTCACGTCTGACTTGAAGATCATGGAGATGGAGGTCAGCCTGGAGATCAGCAAGTGGAACCTCCGTCCAACGAAGCCCCTGTCGTACTCCCACCAACCTTAGGAATTTCCTCTGCACAGCATCAAGCTCGTCAGTCAAACCAACTTGGTAAGGGGACCAAACTGGGCTGGCATACTCTAGGAGTTGGCGTACAAAGGACGAATAAAGTGTTTTTAAAACAACAGGGCTTGTCATTCCACGAGTAGATCTAAAGATGTATCCCAATAGCCTGTGAGATCGTTTGCAGAGATCATACGTTATATTAAATAACGTTATATTAACCTTTACCTCATAAACGTTATATTAAAGATGAGGTTGATTTTAGATTCTTGTTCGTACTTCGTAAGATCTTTTTGATAAAGATATTGATAGCTTGTGCTTAACAATTTAAGCACTGTTCATGCAATTGTTCAAGTTTCACTAAGTTACTGCTGGAATTATTGTCGAACACCTGCTGGGTGCTGAGGTGGGTGCTGTGGCTTGCACTAACTTGCTATGCACACATCTCTCTCCACCTTATAGACATCATGCACAACATCAGCTGTTTACGTACAACATTCCCTCCAAATTTAACCACTTTGTGACCAACTATTCTGAAAGATTGTTCCAAGAGGGCTTTAAAAATGGGTCAGTTCAGTTCTTATTCTCTAGCTTCAGTACTAGCCTACCTTGTTGTATTTTGGGAGACGCAACAATAGAGGATTGTGTTTAGGACAGTAACTTTGGCCAGTTCAGTCAGGTTTCCCAATTAGTCTGTCTCAACCAACACAGTTCAGTTTTACAAAGCTTACAACGAAACTAACCACAAACGTTTTGTCTAAATGAATGAAATATAAGACGTATCGTAGACTAGGCATTCTGTCTCGTAGGATTGTCAAAACTAGGCCTATAGGAAATCTTGAATCTTGAGTCATCCTTTGATTAAACTGAAGGTGTTTTAAGGTTTGTCTAGGTCTTAGGTTTGATAACACTTCGGTTGTGGGAATAATTTACGATATTTATTTCTTGACACAATGACCAATTACTAGATATAAAAATAAAATTTATCCATGTTTTGCCTCCTGGATTGGTTAGATTACTAAATTAGATTAAATACCTTTTTACGTCTTCAATCATAGTCGTCTTTTTGAGTAATCTGCCCCGTTTTCAAATCTTCTGTCTTGTTACTGTTAAAAGCCGGGGCTATAGAATACAAATAGCCCCGGTTAAAAGTACCGGCACACTGACTGATACTAGCCGAGTGTACCGGTCTGCACGATGTTAGTATTTATTTAGGCCGGCCAAAAAGTATTAAATGTTAAATCGTTTCGTGTGACAGTGTGTGTATGTACTACATGTGGAATTCAACGACCAATCCTTTTGATTGAAGACGTAAAAATGTATTTAACCTATTAGTAGTAGATATACAAATCCATTTATAAAACGCTTCATGTTCTCTCAATTGCAAACAAAAGC